AAAGACACGGAGGCAGGAGATGACAGATGGCCCAGTTTGGGGAACAGTGATCAGGGCACGTACAGATGTCCATTCAAGGAGGATCAAAGGCCCCCAGGGAGTGTTTGTGTGGAGGCCACCCCTCAGACTGCAGGGCTGACTGTGGCCTCGCCTGGGCCTCCAACTGGCCTGACCCTCCCATGAGCCTTGGGCTACAGGACCCACCGTGGCAGCTGCACCCAGCGCCCTTGGGCCTTTCAGTGGGGAAGGGGACACTCTTCCCTCCTATTCCTCCCACTTTGGGTCAGGCTGAGCTGCCTCCAGAAAGCATGCCCAAAGGGTGTCCAGGCAGTGTGGTCGAGACCAGAGACCAGGGTGAGTTGTTTCTGGGCACGCGAGTCCAGCATCGCCCACCTGCCTCGTCTGGCGGGGGCTTCTTAGAAGAAGAGGCGGGGGAGGGGCCCCTGCCCTTCCCCCAGGCTGGGAAAGCTTCAACCAGACCGTGGGATTGGGGCATCAGGGTTCTGGGGCCCGGGAGCGAGTGACTTACCTGGTCACGTGGTAGTGACTGGCAAAGCCATTCTGGGGCCTCAGAGCCCAGATGCGCTAGCCGCTGCCAGGCAACGCCGTGTGACTTTTCATGTCGCAACCTCTCCCCCAGACATATTGTAGCCACCCTGGCCGTGAGCCTCTCTGGCTCTAGCCGGCCTGGGCGTCAGGCACCTGAGCCCGTCTTCAGGCCAGAGACCCCAGAAGGGTTGCTGGTGGTCAGGAAGAAAGGCAGGAGCTCACTTGAGCATGGCGCCTTGTGGTTGGCAAAGAGCCTCAGCATGTGAAGATCAGACTAGCTAAGCCTGCCCCTGGGCACACAGCCCCTAAACGTAAGCCCAGGGGTCTCCCCCCCCATCCTGGAAGAACTGGGGCCTCCCAGTGACGCCCGCTCGCTCCCCTCTGCTCAGCCGTGACCAGTGGCCTTTGGGTCCCAGAGTCCTCTGGGCTTGGCCTGGTGCAGGAGTCCCATGGTGTGGGCCACCACAAGGTGGTCAGGAGAGAGGCAGGACTTTGATCAGTCACCGTGGGCGCCAGGATGGGCCCTCAGCTCAGCCTCATTAGGAGCAGCCTGGACTCATTAAATCCTGGAGAACTGAGTCATGCCAGCTGTACCCCAAGAGACAATTGATCAATTTCCATGATAAATCACGACCAGTCATCAACCCGGGGCAGGCCTTCCGGGTGGACGAATGCCTGCATTAGATGCCGTTCTCCACCCTCCCTGGGACAGGATGGACCAGGGACGGTGGCGCTGGGTCCATCACTTCACCTCCCTGTGCCTCAGTTTACACCACTGGAAAGTGAGAAGGTTTGGACCCCCTGGGCCTCCAAGGTGGCTTCCAGCTCTTCATCTAGAAGCCTGTGAGAGCCCTGGGCAGATGCCCTGGAGCGCGCTGGCTCCTCTGGTGCCATGCTTAGCCCTTCACTGGGCGCCTCTGGCTCACAAGTTCTGGGATTCCCTCCTTGTGGGTGGCCCAGAGGGACATGCCCAGCATCCCCTCTCCTTGTAAATGGCCAGCGATTTCCTCTTGTTCCTAACAAGGGAGGGAGGGAGGCAGGGCCTGTTTGGGGTCATTCACAGAGCCTTCTGGCTCCATCATCAACTCCAGGAGCGTTTATTAAGCACCTGCTGTGTGCCAGGCACTGCACTAAGTGTTTGAGGATACAAAAAGGCAAAGCAGATCCCTGCTTTCCAGGCGCTCCCATGGGAGGGGGTGCACGCGTGTGCATGCGTGTGTGTGTGTGTGTGTGTGTGTGCGCGTGTGTGCGCGTGTCTCACAAGCACCTCGCCAGCTTGCCAGGGTGGATGTAAAATGGAGGGGAGGTGTGGTAACGCCCTTTGTAGTGCCTGAGAGCGCACTGTAACTGTGGGTCATTATTGTTGGTCGCAGAGGACCATGGGAAGGCCCAGGCACTCCTGGGGACTCCTTCCCCTCCTCCTGCTCCCTTCGCCCCAGGGAAGGGCACTGTCCTAGGAATGGTCCCATCTGGTGGCTTTCTTGCTGCCTCCCTCCTAGCCCATACAGGGCCCTCCTCCTCCTCCTCCTTCAGGCCCCCCCCACCCCCACGCTGCTGAGCCCCAGGAAGAGTTGGGTGGCTGCTGGTTCATTCAGTCACATCTCGGAAGGACATGAAAGGTTCTTCCTTGTCAGGTTCACCTTTGTCTGCAAGCCACCAAGTGGCGGGTGACGTGCCAGGGCTGCCCAGGCCATGCAGGGAGTGGGCTCAGGGAGGCTTCTGCGCCCCCGAGTTGGCCTCACGGGGCGGTGCCAGGACTCAGGCTTCCAAAGTTTGTGGAGGGCAGTAGACTCAGATCCCCACGGGCGTGTCTTCTGAAGCACTTGGAGCCTAGCTTTGGGGAGCCGTGAGGACCTCAAATGGGTGCTTATTTGAAAAGAGGACAAGGAGAAGAAACGTGATTGCCCAGCTCGGCACCCCACGGTGTCCCCCATGGGGACACGGCCCCTCTCACTGACCCTTCTTCCAGCTCCCAGGGCAGGGGAGCACCCATGCTGACTGTGACTGGTCACCATCCTGTCTTATTCCTCCTGGCAAAGAGCGCAGGCCCGAGGGCTCTGGGAAATGGGCTGAGCCTTGGTGTGTGTGGCCTGGGGCTGGTGGAGGCCCACCTGCCGGAAATGTCTTCCCCCGCCCCTCTCCCAAGCATGAAGATCAGAAGGCTCTCTTTTCTTGCAGGGCACCATCCCCTCCCCTCGGCCTGGGGGTCTCCATCCCCAGCCTGTGGCCTCAACCCCATCTCAGCTTCTTGTCCTCTCTCCCTCCAAGGGAACTCTGTAAAGTCAGTACTTTTATTAAGCGTTTATGAAGTGCTTTCTGTGTGCTTAGTTGTGAGCTAAGCTCCCCCACACCACCCCGGGGGAGCAAATGGCCTGCCCCTGCCCTGCCCACACTGGGCTTCCAGTCTAGCTGGGGAGAGAGCGTGGAGTTCATTCCATTCATGGAGCCTGGCTCCTGGTGTGTGCCCACCACATGAGCAGATGGTGGGAGAGCCAACAGCGTTGACCCTGGCAGAACGGAAGCAGGACGGCTGGCCTCAGTGGAGGCTTCGAAGGCAAGAAAGGCAATGAGGACAGTGCAGTCAGAGGACCTGGATTCAAATTCTGCCCTGTCCCTCTGTGGGCCTCAGTTTCCTCTTCTGTAGAATGAGGGTTCTCTTGGATGGCCTCTGCAGTGCCCCCCAGCTCCAAGTTTACAAGCTTGGTGGTGACCTGGGGCTTGAATCCAGTTCTGCGCCTGTCTGGGGCCTCAGTTTCCCTTTTTGAAGTGGATGAGCCAGAGAAGGTCCAGAGGATGCCATGAGGGCCTGGAGCCCAGCACCAGTGAGCAGCGGCTGGATGCCCCAGGTGTGTCTGGCCTGGAGAAGACGGCTCTTTCCAAATCCTCTGGAGCCCAAATTCCCCCGTGAATGAAGTACGTGTGTCTACCCCATTCAGAGGACCATGAGAAATCATAAAGGAAAATGGCACTGGAGATCTCCACCATCCTTGAGACCTTGGTGGACTGCTGGGTGGCGGATATGGCTCAGAACAGAGCCGGGAACGATGGGGAAAGACGTGAAGAATCATGTGGGAGAGTAGTCTCAGTGTGAGAGAGCCGTCCCAGCGTGGGAGAGCCATCCCAGCATGGGAGAGCCGTCCCAGCATAGGAGAGCCGTCCCAGCGTGGGAGAGCCGTCCCAGCGTGGGAGAGCCGTCCCAGCGTGGGAGACTTCGAGTAAAAGCAGCATGTCCACTGGTCACAGGTGTTGGACCAGATGGCCATGGGACTCTTGTGAGCCATTAGTGATCTTGGAAAGCTGTTTCAGAGTGGTGGGGAGGACACAAGGGGGTTCAGGAGAGAGTGGAGGCCCTAGGAGTCTATGATGTTTTGTAGGTGTTTAGCAGTGAAGGGAAAGTGTTCGTTTGATAGCTTGAGAGGGTAAAGGGGTGTGTGTGCGTGCACATGTGCATGTGCGTGCGTGTATGTGTGTGTGCATGTGTGATACAGAGCTGACCCACAGTCAGAGGCAGAGGTGGGCCCCCTGCCTCCCTGCTTGTCACTTCTGTTCAGACAATTTGTGGGAAGAGGAAGGGCGGGAAGCAGCATTTATAGAGCACCTGCTTGTGCCAGGCTTACTTGTAAGCGCTTTTATAAACGTGATCTCATAATAACCCTGAGGGATAGGTGCTGTTGTTATAACCCCATTTTACAGTCGAAGAAACTGAGGCAAATAGACTTGCCCAGGGTCACCAGCTCCTAAATGTCTGAAGCCAGGTTTGAACTCCAGGCCCTGCACTCGGGGGCTCCCCAAGTCCAGATGGGGAAGTCATGCAGGACACATTTCCTCATTCGCAGTGTTGTGGAAAAGGAAACCAAAGAGAAAGCCAGCGGCTTCACTCTGTGCTCAGAGACCCTAGCCTCCAGCGGTGACTTCCTCAGGTCTGTCTGGCTGATGTTGATACAATGTTGCAGGTGCTGGCTGCATTGTTTTCCTGGTTCTTCTTGGTTTCCAGGATTCGAAGCCGGTCTGGGGCCCCCTGTTCCATCACCTGGGGCTCAGGCAAACAGAGAATACTCGTGTATCTGTTTGTAACCATGTCTGGTGTTTTCTTTCCCCATCCTAGGAGTGTCTCCCTCCTCTTCAGCCTCGAATTCCTGACCATCCTTTTAAGTCCAAGCCCAGGGTCACTCCCCCGTGAAGTCTTCCTTCACAGAATGTTTTCTTTTGGGTTTCAGTTCCCTGCGTCTCAGCCTCTAAACTCCAGTCCCCGGTGGCACGCTCTCCTTCCTCCCCCCTCACTTCCCCTCGACTGGCCTTTCTGTGCAGCAGGTGATCGAGGTGGGGGCTGCTCCAGCCCCTCCACCGACCTCCTTGCCGAGCCAGCAGGCTGCTGGGCTGACTAGAGACGAGGGATGGCAGAGCTTGGGACTGACACTGGCCTTGTTCCTCTTGTTCTGGCCCCACAGGGAGCCAGCTTGGGATGCCATGGCCCCCACCAAGGTGGACGCGGAGAAGCTGGGGGCTCCTGCCCCGGAAAAGTCCTGGAGGTTCCTGGTTTTCTACCTCTGCTTCTACGGCTTCATGGTCCAGATGCGGCCTGGAGAGAGCTTTGTCACACCCTACCTGCTGGGCCCGGACCGGAACTTCACCCAAGAGCAGGCAAGTGCAGGGGCACGATTGAGGGCCTCTGCCCTAGTGGGACTCCAGAAGCACATTTACGGGCCCTCCCTACAAAGCCCTCTCTGTGTCTCTGTCTCTCTCATCCACTCTGTGTGGATCTTATAGATGCCCACATCTTGTAGGTGTGGATCCCCCCGCACCCCACCTCCTGCTGGAAGGGGAGCTCCCTGACGGGCCCTCTTTGGCACCCGGCTTGCTTAGCAAATGCTTGTAGAGGGCCTGGTGGATGGTCCTTCAGATGAGAGCACAGCTGCCTTAGCCCTCGTCTGCTATTGATTTATGGCCCAGAAGAGTCAGTCAGAAGGCTGGGGTGGCGGGGTGGGGGCAGAAATAGCCTCTATTCTTCTGGGGTGAGGGAGAGGCCTTGGGCTGCAGCCCCAGCTCAGGGGCCTAGGATGACCCAGACGAATCACTGTCCCTCTCAGGATTCCATGTTCTCCCCCTTCAAGTGGAGAGGCTGGAGTAGGGGGCCTGCCAGCGAAGGTCCCAGCCTTCCTCTGGGCCTCAGTTTCTCCTTCTGTCCCTTGAGCGGGTCAAGCCCGAGGGCCTGATCCTGCATCCCTGCACACACATACCTGTGGGCAGTCGGGCAGCCAGGTAAGAAGTGGGCTGATGCAGCCACTGGGGTTCTGGGGGGCTCCTCAGACAATGAGTAGTAAGGAAGCCCAATGAGAATTCCTCAGAGGCTGAGCTGGGGTCAGGGGAGTGGATCTTCCAGCTTCACCCCAGCTGCCTGAAGCCCTGAGTGAGAGTTCCCCCAGCCCGTTCAGGATTTCCCTGAGCACCTTCAGACTTTGGAACCATCCCCAGCTTTGACTGATTAACCAGCCCAGTCAGAAGGAGGTTTGTGCCTATGTGCCTCCACTGTGGACGTGGGGACCTGCCCCAAACGCTCTCTCTGCAAAGGAGGCTGGAAGCTGGCTGCCTCTCCCCTGGGAGCCAGGCTGGTTTCTCTGCTCTCTGCAAATGGTGCAGGGGCAGTGAGGGCAGGAATGTTTGCCCTGCTGGGGCCCTGCGGGGAACTCAGAGACAAAATACAGGCCACGGGACACTTAATTACAGCCCCCATACCTCCTTGGCTGCCTGGTCACCCAGCAGGACAGAGCTGGGAAATTTCCGCTTTACTCAGCAAGAAAAGTGAACAGAGACATGGCTTCCGGCCTGCCCTGACACGTTGGTGTTCAAAGAAAATCCGTCACAGAGCTCAGTCCACTCACTCCCTGCTGGCCACTAATCTCCCTGTGATTGGAGAAATGGGAACAGACCATGGTGGAAACTGACCCTAATCCTGAGCCCCAGTGCCCTCTTCACCCCCACCTCCGCACACGGGGAGCTCACCACTGCTTGTCTGCCTGGGGACAGTTCTCATTATCTGCATCTGAATGTGAGGCCTCACCTCAAGCTGCCCGGACTCCCTCCTGTCCAGGCCAGATGCCCCCAGTTTCATCAGCAGCTCCTCCGCATTCATGGCACGCAGGTCCATCCCCTTATGGCCCTCCCTCCAGCTCACCAGTGCCCTTCCCCAGTGATGGGGGACCTGAAGGTCCAAAGATGCTGCCCCAGGAGGGGTCTGCCCACGACCAAGGGCAGGGTGACCAGACTGGACGCTCTTTCTGCCAGATCTCATTAGAAATTCAGTCCACCGCCCAGGGCCATTCAGACCTGGGGGTACCAAGGACCATGCTGCTGGGGCAAGATGCCAAGACAAACCTCTATTAAGCACCTACTCTGTGACCACTAGGGGGCGCCACCCTGCACACAGCAGAGCCCTGGAGTGAGAGAGTCCTGAGTTCAAATCCAGTAGAGATACAAAGGAAGCCAATCAGATTGAAATACAGGGAGGCCAGTCTTTTCAAAGGCAGGTCCAGAGGCCCAGGTTCAGAACCTCCAGCCTGAGCGATCGGTGCCTGAGATCTCTCCAGCTCTGGGGATGGTTCCCGCCTTCTCCAGGGGAGCTGACACTGTGTGTCCCAGACACACTCCTACCAAGATCGCCTTGGCCTGGCCCTGAGCGCTGGCCACCCTCGTGGGCGTTTCTACACCTGCCTTTCAATTCCGAAAGCTCCTGAGAGTCCCCGCCCTCCCAGGCTGGCTCTGGCTTCCCAGAAGCAGTTAAGACCCCTGTGCTTGGGCCCCAGGCTGGATGTGTCTTCTGGCCTCGACTTTGTGCCCTGGAGGCCAGAGGAAGGGGGCAGGTAGAGAGCCTCACCACCTCGCTCCTCTTCTGGCCTGGATCACTGCTTATCTCCATGACTGTGCTCTCCACTGCTCCCCTCCCCCAAAGCCTGCAGCAGCTGCCAATGCTCCAAGTCCAGAAGCTGCTCCCCACTTTCAGAGTCCCGCGGCCCCCGCCTCCACGCCCAGCCACTCTGCAGCAGGGTCGGTCCAGTGGACACTGACCCCTCTCGGCCCACACCTGGCCTGCTGAGTCCTTCTCTTTCTCCCAGCCTCGTGGTGGGGGGCCCGCCTCCCACTCTGCCTCTCCAGGCTCCCCTGGCATTGCTCGAGCCAAGACCCAGCGACTCAGCCTCATGGAGAGAAAAGGGTTTTTCCAGTAGAGGTGCCGGCGTGACCTCAGGGGTCCAGACCCCTTACAAAGAAGGCAAATGGAGGGGGCGTCAGTGAGTAAAGCCTGGACTGGCAGGTCAGGAAGCCCTGAGTTCAGCCTGAGATGCTTGCTAGCTGTGTGACCCTGGGCAAGTCACCGCCTAAGCTTCAGTTTCCTTGTCTGTAAAACAAATGATAGGATTGCTGCGGCAAATGGGGGAAGATTTATAAAGCACCTTGCAAGCATTTTAAGTGCTATGCAAATGCTGTTAGTATTATTGTTAGTATTATTAATGTTATTTCTGAAGAGACCTGCCCTCTTACCGCACACCGGAAGTGCCTGCCAAAGGTCAGGGCTGTCATTGGCAGGCCCAGCCAGTGACCCTCCCTGTCAGCCCTAGACGGGGGACACCGGCTTTCCTGGGGCCTCTGACTCCAGTCAGTGAGAAGTGAACGGGGTTGTGTGGTGCAGGCCGGCCCTTTGTCTGAGCAGGCGCTCATAGCCGGGCGTTTGGTGTTGTTTCCATGGCAACCAGCCTAGGCCTCTCCTTCCCCAGCCTGCCCCTCTCCGCAGCTCTCTCTCCAACTGCCAAGTGTGACGAAGGTCACCTCCTTGGGTTTCCTCTTCCTGTGCAGCCCACGTGCCTTGTTGGCCAACAACAAGTGGGGCGTCTTTCCCTGGGCGCTCACTCGTGACCTTTGCCTTTTTCCTACTTGCCTCCCTGTGCTCTGAGGAAATGGTCACACACAGTACCCTTGGACTCTAGAGATAAGCCATGGTCCTTAAGCCTGCACAGGACAACTCCCCAGAGGTCATCCGCGTGAACCAAGGCCGGGGCTTACTCACTGCCCTAGCCATCCCCATTGGCAGGGAAGGCCTGCTGAATGTTGGAGGGCCCAGAGGAACCCTGGCCTTCCTTCTGCCCCTGGGAGGCCTGCTCTCCTGCAGCTGCCGCTTCTCAACCTCTGTGTCTGCCAAGGGTCTGCCTGCTTTCCCCAACCCACCCCTGCAGGTTGTGCTGCCCGCCTGGGTCAGGAGGGCTGAGCGGGACGTCCAGGTTGTGAAGCCGGGCCCCTCGTGACCTCCCTGCCCACAGACTGCTGCTTTGGCACGGAGGGTGCTGCTGGTCACCTTCAGCTTGTACATCATCCCAACCCAGGGAGCCATTCCTCTTAACGAAGGATGAGAGGGAGAGAGGGCGTGAGAACAGTGAAGTGAGACTAATCATCCCATCTCTGGGTCTGACCACGTACGCAATATTCCACACCCCTAGACCTCCACTTCTGCAAAGAAGAGTTAATGGCAAGCACCCTAGGACCCCAGCTTCAACCTTCCCCACAGAACTGCGGGTGGTGACTCTGGGGAGGGTCTCACGAGCTCCCAGGAGGATCCCTTGGCCATCTCGTTTCCTCCCTCCTCACCACAGGAAGCCTGAGGAGCCTGCCAAAGCCCCAGGGCTCAGAGACAGAGGCCTGTTTGTGCTGCCTGGCCTGGTCTGGCCTGGCTTTTCTTAAGAGGAGCTGGACCCCAGGAGCAAAGTACCCAGAGCCCTCAGCTGCTGCCAGAGAGAGGACTGGAAGAGAGGAAGGCTGGGGGAAGGTCACCTTGTCTGTGCGTGCCTTGATTTTAGAGCATCAGCAGTATTGGCCCAAACTGGTCTCCGGCCTGCCTTGAATGTGGCAGCACAAGGCTCAGCCCTGCTTAAGGCCATAGATGTGGTAGAGTGAGCCTCAGCCCCCATGAAGGACAGGACCCCTGGGTGTCTGGACAGGAACAGAGGGGTAGAGGCCTGGGGCCGGGTCCATGGCCATCTGAGAAGTCCTGTGCCTAGCTGGGTTAGGGCTGTTGCAGGCTCAGGTGCTTATGTGCCTGTGGTCGCCATCTTGGCTTGGCCTCTCATCACCAAGAATCCCACTTGGGCTGTTATAGGCTCAGGGCCCTGGGCCCATGGTCGCCATCTTGACTTGGCCCCTCTGCACCATGAATCCCACTTGGGCTGTTATAGGCTCAGGGCCCTGGGCCCATGGTCGCCATCTTGACTTGGCCCCTCTGCACCATGAATCCCACTTGGGCTGTTACAGGCTCAGACCCCCCTGGGCCCATGGTCGCCATCTTGGCTTGGCCCCTCAGCACCAAGAATCCCAAATGGGCTGTTATAGGCTCAGGCCCCTCATGCCCGTTGTCACCGACTTGGCTTGTCTTCCAGGTCACCAACGAGATCACGCCCGTCCTGACCTACTCATACATGGCGGTCCTGGTGCCCATCTTCCTGCTCACGGACTACCTGCGCTATAAGCCGGTGCTGATCCTGCAGAGCCTGAGTTACCTGTCTGCGTGGATGCTGCTGGTCTTCGGCACCAACATCCTCTCCATGCAGTTCATGGAGTTCTTCTTTGGCATCACCATGGCGGCCCGGGTGGCCTATTCGTCCTACATCTTCTCCCTCGTCAGCCCCGCCCGCTACCAGCGGATGGCAGGCTACTCGCGCTCCTCCGTGCTCCTAGGTGTCTTCATCAGCTCCGTGCTGGGGCAGGTCTGTGTCACGGTGGCCAAGGTCCCCTTCGTCACCCTCCACTACATCTCCCTGGGCTTCATGGTCTTCGGGCTGGTCCTGACGCTCTTCCTCAAGCGGCCCCGGCGAAGTCTCTTCTTTAACCGCCCTCACGAGTCTGTGTGCAGTGGAGCCTCACCCTCAGAACTGGACCAGATGAACCCGGGTGAGGCGAAGCGCCCGGGTGGCGAGCCCTGGTGGCGCTTCCTGGCCGTCTGCAGGGACTCAACGCTGGTGCAGATGCTGCTGGAGCTGGGGGACATCGTCCGCGTGCCGCAGCTGCGCCTCTGGTCCCTCTGGTGGGTGCTCAATTTCGCCGGATACTACCTGATCGTATATTACATCCATATTTTGTGGAATGAGGTGAACCCCACCCCGGACAGCTCCAAGGTCTACAACGGGGGCGTGGACGCTGCTTCGACTTTGCTGGGTACAAGCCCATTTTCCATTGGCCCCACCCCTCCCCCACGGTGCCCAGGAGGCGCCAGCCCTGAGTAACCTGTCCTGTCTCCCCAGGGGCTCTCACCTCCTTCTCGGCAGGCTTTGTGAAGATCCGCTGGGCAGTGTGGTCAGAGCTGGTGATCGGGAGTGTCACTGTCCTGCAGGCTGGGCTCATCCTGCTCATGTACACCACCAGTAACATCTGGGTGTGCTATGTGTCTCTGGTGCTGTTCAGAGGCTTTCATCAGTTCCTGGTGCCCATAGCCACGTAAGTCTCCACACGGGAACCTCTGGCGGGGCTGTGGTTAGGACGGGGGGCACTGGGGGCTCTGGGTGGGGAGGAGCCCTGGGGCCATACCCCAGAGAGAGAGCCAGAAGCAGGGTAGGACGGAAGGAGCCCAGGCGCTGGAGGCAGGGGCCCTGGGGTCTGATTGCACCTGGTGCTCACTCACCACCCGCCCTGTGGCCTTGGGTAAGGCTTTGTTTCCCTTAAGCAATCTCCCTACCTGTAAAATGAGCCTCTGGAGACCCTTGGAGCGTTCCCAGGGCCCTCATGTGGAGCAGGAGGAGGGATTAGCCTGGTACTGACCAGTCCCCGGAGGGCGCCGCGGAGGCCTGGCCCAGAGGCTGGAGCTGGAGGCTGTGGCCAAAGACCCTCCCAGGCCCCAGAGCTGTTCCCTGGCCAGCACTTGTCCCGGGCACCCATTGTCTCCCAGTAGGCTGAGGTCAGCAGAGGTTTCCTCCCCTCGTCACAGCTGCCTGGAGTGGGGTGGGGCCTCCTCTCCAGTCCCAGAGGGCTCTTCTTTGGCTGGCCTGCCCGTGTCTGGCTGGCTCATTTGGTTCAGATAGTGGAGCTTGGGAGGCCAAGGTCATTGCATTCCATGGTAACTCATAGCACCTGACCTCCTGTGGATGGACGTCTGGCCTCTGCCTGCCCTGAGTCACTGGGATGATTGGGTCCACATATGAGGACAGCGCAGATCCAGCCCGTCCACCCTGCAGGAGCTCAGTCCCATCTTCCCTTCCTGCCTCCTGGTCTCTGGCGCCATATTTGTCAATGGTGGTTGCAAGAAGAAAGAGGCTTTCAGGGTCACGCCCAGGGTTTGGAAGGCATCTCAGGGAAGTCCTGGAGGGTCTGCTTCCTTCTCTGGAGATGCCCTCCAGTTCTGGCCTCTGCCAGGCCTCCTGTTGTGAGAGGCAGGGCATTCGCACACCTCCTTCACGGCCTAACAGAACAGAGCAGGCCCTGGGACAAAGGACAGGTGTCCGTCCCAGAGGCCAGCGGCAGAGCTCCAGGGCCGATGCTCCTCCACGTGGCCTCCTGCCATCGGCAGCCTCTGAGAGCCACAGCTCATGTTTCTAGAGGCTCGTGGACGGGTTGGCTGGGCCAGTCGTAGGCCTTACCTTGCGTGATCCTGGGAGGAGGGGGCTGTGGGAATTGCTGCTGTCTCCATTGTACAGATGGTAAAGCTGAGGCCCGTCCAGGCAGGTGGCCTGCCCGTGGCCATTCAGTTATTTGCCACTACAGAGAGGCTTCCCGTAACGGGTCGTTTGGTCGTCACATATGTCTGACCACCCCCATTTCACTGGGGAGGAAACAGCCTCAGAGAGAGAACATGTCTTGTCTGAGGTCACTCAGCCCCCAAGGCTATGTATTCAAGGCGCTCTGACCACAAGCCTGGCACTGCCCATGATGCCGCCTCTTGGATGGTAGCGGATGGCAGAACGGGGAATGCCCCAGGGCTCGTGCTGCCTCTGCAGCCTAGTAAGACTGAGGCTCATACACCCATCTCGCTTTGAGGCTTCCAAAGCACTCCCTTTGCCCCAGGCCTGTGGGAGGAGACTCAGCCTGGCCTTGGACGTAAAGGGTAGACCCAGGTTCAAATCCTGCCTCTGACACGCTTTCTGTGTGACCCTGGGCAACTCTCTGTGACTATAAACCACAGATGAGCTGCCGATCAGCACTGGTGAAGAGACTTTACCCCCTAAGAGTTCTCCATGGATGGGATCAGTTTCACTGCCCCCCAGCCACAATGTCAGCGGTATGAGAATTATTCTCCCATTTTGTAAAAGCGGGGCTTAAGTTCAGTGACTGTTCCAGGGAGTCCCAGCTGGTAAGTGTTAAAGTAGAGACTTGGCCCTGCGACTCCTGGAGCCAGACCAAGCTCCCACAGGGAGTCCCGCGTTTTCTGCAGTGAAAGCCCCACCCTGACCCAGGCGCGAAGCGTAGGGCTCCCCCGTCTTTTAAATTAATGGCGGCTGTCTTTCTGCCAAGTTTCCAGATCGCCTCGTCCCTGACCAAGGAGCTGTGTGCCCTGGTATTTGGGGTCAACACCTTCTTTGCCACCATCCTGAAGACCATTGTGATCGCCATTGTGGCGGATAAGAGGGGCCTCGGGCTCCCCGTCCGCTCCCAGGTACGTGATCGCCAGCATTTATGCCATGCTTGCTGTGTGCCAGCCGTTGTGCCAAGTGTTTACAAGTCTGGTCTTGTTTGGTCGTCATGACCACACTGGAGGAGAAAGAGGTGCCGTTGTTATCCCCGTTTTCCAGATGAGGAGACTGAGGCAGGCCGAGGTGAAGTGACTTGTCCATGGTCACCCAAGCTGTAAAGTGTCTGGGGCCAGGTTTGAACTCAGGTCTTCCTGACTCTGGACCTGGCACGCTAACCACCGCGATATTGAGCTGTCCCTCGTAAACAAACTCTCTGACTTAAAGCCCTTCAGAAGCTGGTCCCTACCTGTCTTTTCTTCCTTTGCCCACATAGCCTCCCTTCCTGCATACTACAGTCTAGCCAAACTGGTCTGCCCTCCGTCACTTGTCCACAGCCCTCGTTTCCCATCTCCATGCCTTTGCACTGGTCATCCTCATACCCCGTGCATACCATTCTTATCTCTACTTCTAAAGTACCTCAATTTCTTCTTGATGTAGCTCAGGCACTGCCTTGTGCATGAAGCCTTCGTAACCGGCCTCGCTCCCTAACTGCCTCGCTTTTGTTTGGGAGTCTCAGTGGGTATAGTGTAATGCCAGCATGACGCTCGCCTTCCCGCTTCTCTCTTTCTTGCCTGACTCACTGCAATCTGTGCTTACACTACCAAGGCAGGGGATTTTCCTGGGTGGGGTGGGGATGGGAGAGACAGCCATGGCCACTACACCAACTTACTCTCAGACCCCTAATGGTAACCTTGGTGTGGAAGAAATTTAAGTATGCACTGAAAAGCCCCCACTAGGGTGCCTCCCATTCACACAAATCAGTAATAATGATACTAGTAACTCTTAAGAGTGAAACATTTACTAAATTAGAAGATGAGAATCATAGCAGTTAGTAAATAAAGGACAAAAGCAGGACTTATCAAAGCATAACAGTCCCCCTCCATAAATCCAGATTACACTCTCCCACTGATGAAGTGTCTGTGGTAGGGAAAGTGGGCACAAACTTACAAAAACCCATCAGTGAGCCACACACGTATTGAAACCCTTGTGCCTATGTAGTCTATTTAGGAAATAGTTTGCTCCCCATTTCAGTTTCTTAGTCAGACAATTCTGAGAAGCCACTCTAGTCTCTGACTGGACAAAGCTACTTTGAGCTAACATTGAGCAAACAGCAGCTTTAAGTCTGGGATCAGCCGACTTCCCAGGCCTGTTCCCGTGAGTGACTGGGTGGGGAGGCAATCTGACCCTTGGTAACGTGCCCTTAGGCAGAGTTCTTCAGGATTGTCCTAAGGGAGTTTGCAGGGGTTCTCCCCTACTTCCCTAAAGGAAGCAAAAGGCAACACTGGTAAGCCTTTGATTGCCTTACTTGGAGCTGCAGGTGGCATCAGAAAGCAACGTGGTCTTTGCCAGCCAGTCCCTTTGTGCGGGGTGATGCTTCTCTGCATATCCCCCCCGCCCCCCGGAGCCTGTGTGTTTGCGTGTCTGTCCAGTGATCTGTACTCAGCTCCTGGCTGCTTTCTGACTGTTGATTTTTGACGCCTTGGCTTCTCAGGCTGGCCTCTTAGGTCTCACACCAGGGCTTCCTCTTATGTTGTGACTCACCTCTATCTTGGATTGAGAAACGCAAAATTCACGTTTTTGGCGGATGGGACAAAAGGAGTTAGTAGACCGTCATTCCCTAGTCCCCAAACAGTGCTTGAATTTAGAGTTTCCCAACAATAACGTCTAAGTCTAAGTCATGAACAGTCATGTAAATTATTTGTTGGGAAGCAAGGTGCCACGGCGGCCTGAACGGTCCCGAGTGCTCTGCTCCTGAGAGGTGGCCTTTCACTCTTGGCCTCCCCAAAGTCTCCACCTTCCGAGCGTTTCTTTCTGAGGGGTAGCTTCTCTCTGAGGTTCTTGGAATTCTGGCTTTTTCCTTGTTTCTCCCAAATGCTGCTTTTTCTGTGTTTCTCCCTTTCCCTTATGGCAAGTAAACTCTCCATTCAGGAAGGGAGAAGCACCTCCTCTGTCCATATCTGTGCAGCACTCGTGGGCTCCACTGCTCCTGGAGGGTAGGGATGGTTTCATTCCTTGTCTCTGGATCCCCCGCACCCAACACAGTCTCTGGCACATAGCCGGTGCTTGATAAGTGCTCGCTGAGTGGTTGATGACTGACTGATTAAAGAACAGAACTGGATTCACGCTCACTGCCCGCCCTTCTCTTCTAGTTCCGAATCTACTTTGGCTATTTCACGGTGCTGGCCGTGGCCTACTTCTCGGGGGCCGTGTACACGGCGGTGAGGCACTGTCGGCAGAGCAGATTCCAGAATGTCCCCTTGGCGAATGAGCTGAGGAGCCCCGTGGAGATGTCCGAGAAGACACAGAACCCCAAGGATGATGGCATCACTGGCGTCCGGGCCTGATTGGAGAGGCCGGTGGACGGAAGGACAATCATACGTGCTCGGCGCTGGCTCCACACCGGGTAGGCACAAAGCCCCCCCACTTCACTGGCCCCTCCCACCCTACATCTGTGGGAAGCGGGTCCAGGGGCTCTGGCGTCCAACACTGACTCTCGTCTCTGGCTGGGTCGTGGTTTGTGGTGTGAGCACCTTGGGAAACCAAGGCTGGGAGGATGACTGTATTAGGTTGGCCGTGTTACTGCTCATAGGTCTTGTCTTGTTACAGTTCTGTCAAACCATGGATAACCCATTTTTCTCAATTTGATTAAGAAGAAGTTCTTGCCCAGACCATGAAATGGTGCCATCTGAAGCCTCAGCCACTTGACTAAGTTAGCCTGGATGCCGTATTGAGAATCAGCTGCCCGAGGTGTTACCTAACCTTTGGTAGGGCGGCCGAGCCAAGCCTGAGACAATCACAGCAGGCACCGCCCCCCACACGTTCACACACACTCACACTCATCTGCACACACACACACACACACACACTCTCTTACACTCATCTATATACACACACATTCACTCACACTCACGTATACACACACATACTCATCTACACTCACACTCTCATGCTCATCCATACACACACGTTCACACACACACTCATCTACACACACACTCACACACAGACATTCACACACTCACACTCATCTGCACATGCTCTCACACTCACACACCCCCAGGTTTGCTCACTGAATACCTTCGAGGTGATTATTCCCCAGATGGGGAGCTCTCCTCACCCACTTACACGCAAAAAAGATTTCCCATAGTTAGCAGCAACCCTTCAGAAATACAGCGTTCCACCTGCCTCCCCGCTTGCTTGCGCCAGGCCGCCTGGCTGGCTGTGTCCTGCCACCCCCTGCTTGGTGGCCCTAGAAGGCCCCTGGTCAGCCACGGGCTTCCTAGAAGCCGCTTTAAACTCGAAGCGCATCCTCAACCCCCTCTGGCATGCCCAGGGCTGGTGAGGACATCGCTCCTCTCCTATCCAATGGCTGATTTTGGGGTCCTGCTACCCCCTCCCCACTGCAGCTTTGTGTCCCTGGATCCAGCATGGCCTGCAGTGTGATGCCGAGGGGAGATTACTGGCCGTGCTGTGTAGGCATGGGTCTGCCGGGGTGGGGAGCAGGCCGGTCTTGGTCCCTGCCATTAATGAGCCTTCCTGTTGCCTCTAAGCTGGAAGTCCCGGCCCCAGAAGGCACTCGGGTCCTGCCATCCACCCAGAGCTTTCGTCAATGTCCATCCCCTGGACGGTTGGCTGCCCTTGGCCCATTTCCACTTCCCTCCCTGCTGAGGCACACTAGACCTGTCATTCAACCACCTGGGGAAGCTTGGGTGCTCCCTGAAACTCCTCAGGCCTTCAGGAAAACTGGGAAACCGCCAGCCGCTTGTCTCGAAGCAGAGCTGTGTTTTTGCTGCTGAGACCTTCTGTCCCATGAGCCTGTCCCTTGGCTCCCTCTGGCTGAAGAGCCAGACGTGTGGTCCTGTGGTCCCGGCTTCCTTGTGGCCATTTCCTTCACTGACATCCTGATGGATATTGGGCTGGTCAAGTCACCTCTTGGAGCCTCAGTCTCCCCATTTCTAAAATGGGTTAATATTGACCTACCTCACAGAAATGTTTGGAGGGTAAAGGAGAACAGCTGAAAGGGGCTTTGGCTGAGGCTCTGGGAAGAAGGGACGTGTCTAGATGGCCGTCACCCAAGAGTATTATCTCCCCTCACCCCACAGGATCGGGAAGAGTCCAGGACTGGAGTCAGACCTGTGTCTGGATCCTGGCTCTGCCATGGCTCATCACATTGCTTCTCTGGGTGCCTCAGTTTCCCACTCTGCAGAAAAGGAGGAGTCAGGCTAGCTGACCTCTATGGGCCCCACCCACCCTATCGAGATGGCCCTCCGAAGCTTACAAGATACAAGAATCCTGGCTGCTTCTGAGCTGAGAAGCGCTGGGCCCCTCCCCGCTCCCATCCCCCACTCAGAGGAGGACCCTCTTCTGAAACACCCCGGGTGAGGAAGTGCTCTGTTTGAAATGTGGTCTTTGGTTGAAAATCGCAAAATGACTCTTTTTCACTCTAGATTATCCATCCAATTTTATGATACAAGAGGATTTCTTTTGTGTAATAAACCAGTTCATACACAGGAATGAGTGATGCCTGCTCCTTTGCTCCAGGCCCCCAGCCCTGTGAGTGTGGTCTGTAGGAGGGGCTGGAGGGAGAGGGAAGGTGGGGCAGGGAGCCCCCGAGGGGTGAAATTCTGAAGGTGCAAAGAGACAGGCTTCCCACTGGGAAATGGAGTGGTTGTCTAAAGAGACTGGTGTGGATGCACTGGGAGCTCTCAGAGCAATGGAAGGTTCAGAAAGACAGGGCCAGAAGTCAGAAGGAAGGGCAGATTGCCGAAAGGGCATCTGGAGGGCGTGAGGCCCAGAGAAGGGCCCTGGGTGTGAAAGCCGATGAACCCCCGAGGACAGCAAGGGGTAACCAAGGGACACGAAAGAGACTGCAAAGGCTGAACTGCCCTTTGGGCGTCTGCACCGTCTAAGGGACCTGGAGGTCTGAGCCCAGCGGTTGACCCCGGAAAACCACCAGCCTGGGGCTGCAGCAGGGCCCATGTCCCATTCTTCAGAAAAGGGGAGGGAATCCAGGCTGCAGAGAGCAGGCAAGCCAGGGAGTTGATCTGTGGTGCTGCCTGACAGCGTCCTAGAGCAGAACGGTTGAGGGGTGGCGAGGGCGTCTCCAGAAAGGGGGCAGGAACCAGCCTGATTTCAGACCGCACTCTGCTCACCTCCTTCTGTTTTTGTAAACAGAATCGCCAGATGGAGAGCTCAGGGGAGGGCCGTGAGTCAAGCTTATAGGGATCTTTTTTTTAATCAATTTATTTTGATTTATCAATCACTTCCATAAGCTTTTGAGTTTTAAATTTTTCTTCCCCCTCCCTCATCAAGACAGCACACAATCTGATATAGGCTATGCCTATACATTCCTATTAAACATATTTTCACAATAGTCATGTTGTAAGGAAGAATTAGAACCAATAGGAGGAACCACCAGAAAGAGGAAACAAAACAAAACAGAAGAAAAAAAATAGCAAATAGTCTGCTTCCATCTGCCCTCAGACTCCAGAGTTCTTTCTCTGGATGTGGACAGCATTTTCCATCCTGAGGCCTTTGGAGACGTCTCAGGTCCTTGTATGGCTGAGAAGGGCTAAGTCTATCAATGTTAGTACCTAACTGATTGTGTCATTCCCTTCTCAGCCAAATCTGATGAGAGTAAGGTTCAAACAGTGCTCGTCTCCCTCCCTTCTTTCCCTCTGCTGGAATAGGTTTTTGGGCTTTTTCCTGTAATGTAATTTACCCTTGTCTGCCTCCTCCTTTCCTTTTCTCTCAGTACATATTCTTAGATCAGATTAATCCACTTATTTGGATCCATTTAACCCACCTGATTAGATTTTTTTTTATCATGACATCAAAGTCAACTTATACCTACCCCCTTTATGTATACTCCTTTAACATGGTGTAGTAACATTACAGTTCTCAAGGGTTACAAGTGTCATCTTCCCTTGTAGAGATGTAATCAGTTTGCCCTTATTAGTAAAATGTTGTTTCTTTCTGTCCCATTTACCTTTCTATGTCTCTCTTGAGTCTTATATTTGAAGATCATATTTTCTGTTGAGCTCTGGTATTTTTATCAGGAAGGTTTGAAAGTCCCCTATTTTGTTGAATATCCGTCTCCTCCCCTGAAAGATCATGCTCATTTTCACCGGGTAGTTGATGCTTGGCTGTAATCCAAGCTCCTTTGCCTTATGGAATATCATATTCCACGCCCTACGGTCTTTTAATGTAGAAGCTTCAAGGTCCTGTGTAGTCCTGACTGTGGTTCCACGATATTTAAGTTGTTTCTTTCTGGCTGCTTGCAGTATTTTCTGTTTGACCTGGTAATTTTGGAATTTGGCTACTATATTCCTTGGTGTTTTCAATTTGGGATCTCTTTCGGGAGGTGGATTCTTTCTATGGCTATTTTACCCTCTGGTTCTAGGACCTCAGGGCAGTTTTCCTTTATGATTTCCTGAAAGATACCGTCCAGCCTCTTTTTTTCATCGTGATTTTCAGGTAGACCAATAATTTTTAAATTGTCTCTCCTGGATCGATTTTCCAGGTCAGTTGTTCTACCAATGAGATATTTTACATTTTCATCTATTTGTTTTTGTTTGACTGATTCTTGCTCTCTCCATTTGCCCAATTCTAATTTTTAACAAATTGTTTTCTTCTATTACATTTTGTGCCTCCTTCCCCATTTGGCCAATTGTATTTTTTAAGGACTTGTTTTCTACGGTTAATTTTTGTCCTTCCTTTTCTAAGCTATTGACTCTCTCTTGCATACCTCTCATTTCTTTTCCCATTTGTTTTTCTATCTCTCTCATTTGATTTTTAAAATTCTTCTCGAGCTCTTCCCAGAAGGCTTTTTGGGCTTCCGACCAGTTCATATTCCGTTTTGAGGTTCCAGATGTGGGTTTGTTGGCAATGTTGTCCTCTTCAGAATTTCTGCCTTGATCTTCTCTCTTCCCATAATAAGAATCTATTGTACGTTTCTTTTTGCTCATGGTGTTTGCTTATTTCCTGACCTTTAAAGAGATCAGGCTGTCCTGCTGGGGAGCAGAGGGCACTGACCCAAGCTTCTTGTGTTGGGAGCCTAGAGCCTGGTCGCTGGCTCTGTGTGCTGGGGCCTCTGATGTTGGCAGCTGGAGGCGGTAGGGCTCTGGCAGCTTACCTGGTGTTGGGCTGGAATCAGCAAGGCTGGAGCTCTAGGGGTAGGATTGGGTGGTGTGGCTCCTGGAGATTTCCTGCTCACCCAGGCCTTTCCTTCCTTTGGTAGCCTTAGGCAGAGATGGCAGACTCAAGGAGCTCCGCCTGAACCAGATCAGTGGAATCAGGAAATGTTGAGTAAAACAAATCTGTGCACAATGCAATGTAATGCTCCTTTGTGGTTTTCTCAGTAAGTGTGTGGCCCTGGGGATCTGCTTCTGTTTGAGTTTGACTCCACTGAAGGATGCATGGGGAAAAGGAAGGGAGGCTTGGCTAGGAGAAAGGAGGGAGCGTATGAAAGAGGCATCATGGGAGCAGAACAGTTGGAAACTGGCTGGAGGTAAGGGAGAGGGCAGTCAGGTACCCTACAAGCTCGTGAACCTGGGTGACTGGCAGGATGGTGGGAGGTGGAATCGGGATGGGTTGGAGTGGCAGCAGAATGAAACGCTTTAAGGGTTGTATTTGAGGTGCCTGTGGAACAGCCGGGTGGAGATGTCCAACATGGAACTGGAGCTCAAGAGAGCCTGTCCCTGGAGACCGAGTGTGGGGCATCACCTGGGTAGAGACAGCTGAACTGACAGGAGCTCGGGAGGCCACCGACAAAGAGTGGAGAGAGAGCAGGACCCAGGCCAGGGCCTGGAGGATGGGCCAAGGAACAGGATGGCCGATGGGCGGGCAGACAGGGCACAGACTGGTAGAGGGCAGTGGCCAGGAGGGAGGGGG